ATTTTCCCAGGACATAGGTGCCTGCATCAGCTCTATCTCAATCTATTTGCTGAATCTGCTGCCTCAGGCTCACCTCCCTGTGTGTGTCAACCAAGCACCATTATGGAATACCTTCCATGTGCCAAACCCTTTATCATACTTCCCTACTAAATACACACACACACACACACACACACACACACACACACACACACACAGAGTCTGGAGAGATGGCTCAGCTGTTAAGAACACTGGTTGTTCTTGCAGAAGACCCAGGTTTGAATCCCAGCACCCACATGGCGGCTAACAACTGTCTATAACTCCAGTTCAGGGGATCTGACAGCCGACAGCCTCTTCTGTCCTCCTCGGGCATTGTACAACACGGGTGTACTTACCTACATGCAGGCAATACACGCATACACATAAAAATAATAAAATATTAAAAAAAAATCCTCACCCCTACTTTATGACCCTCTACCATTATCCCCATCCTCAAAAAGAGTAGTGAGGCACAGCTAGGTTTGATGACTGTTCAAGGTCACTCAATCCCAGGTAAGGTGGTAGAGTCAAGATTCAAACCCTGGAGGATCTACCTTGAAGCTGGCATTTTTTCAAAACAATGCAGAGATTCTTCCAGAACAGTCCTCCTTTCAAAGCCACTTCCCTCCCTTGTAATACTATTCATTCAGCAATAAGAAAGACACTTTCCATAGCAGTCTTCAGGCTGTGTTTGCTCCACCCTTCCTCCACAAGGCCACCGTCCCCCTTGGCCCTATGCCTTCCCTCTGTCTTTTGACTTGTACCACTTTCTCTAATCTCTTGCTCACTCCCAGGCAGATACTACCCTCCACCCCATTCATCAATTCACCTACTCAGAGAATCTTCCTTTGACCCACCCATCCCCTGACATTCACTCTTGTGAACACAGTGCATACTCTGCCCTTTGCCTTCTTGCTTCTTATCACAGTTGCTTAACCATATTTTGATGTGACTGGTCATTTGTTTAACCTTAATGCTAAGCTACACAAGGGTGTTTTACTCTCATTATAGCCATAGCGCTAGCAAGCTGTTCTATACATGGTGGTTGCTTAGTCGTTTTTTTTTTTTTTTTACTTTTT